ATGAGTGGATAATAATGTCAGCTGTGCTGCTGAAAGCTGTGGAAGCATACTTGAAGGTTGATGGACAATCAGGGCTTGTTTAAAGTGTAATTAATTTGTCACCATCTCATGGATTTGAAATAAACTCTTCTACATTTTCAGTGCTAAATATCTTCATGATCTAAGAGGTTAAACTAACTCCAACAAAATCTATACATCTGACATTGGCCATCTTAAATCTCTGAATGCTAACTGAAGGTACAGAAAATTTAGAAACCAAATTCTCATGCTTAACAGATGGTGATTATCTGTAAGAAAGATAACATTTTTAGTGTTTTTTTTCCCCTGTTACAGAGCATACATTTGTATGTAATAACAAAATAAGATGCTTCTAAAAAGAGTGAGATAAATTTGTGTCCTTGTTTTATTTGACCAAAACAAAGGTGAGGGGAAAGCCACTTCTTAGTCGCCAACTTTTAGAGGCACTGGTATCCAGCCAGCCTTGCCTTTCTGTCAGCAGAAACTTCAGATTTCTTGTTCAAGGATAACTGAGCGTCAAGTCAGAGTGTGCTCGGCAGGAAAGACTTGCTCAGGATGTTGCTAGAATGTGACCTTTTCCCCCAGACTGCTGAGAAAAAAGAAACCTATATCTTTCAGAAACATTTGCTGCACTGACAGGTGGCAGGTGATATTAGAGGAGGACGGACCATAACAGAATAGGACACATAGGGAAATAAACTCATGACTTTCCAAGGACATCAGTCTGATCTCTTTTCTTAATTTGAGTCATGCCGTTTAATTACTTTTCCATTTANCTTCTGTAGCTTTGAACGTTCTTGTACCTTCCTCTTTGACAACTCCCACCTGGATGTCATGCCCAGGCCTCTAATTCAGCATGTCCAACACATAAACCATCACCTTCTCCACAAAACCTACTACTACTTTTTCTGAACTTTTTACCTCAGTAAATTGCACAGCCACCTAACACAATCATGACAGGTCAACGTGTAGGCTTCATTTTATATATCCCTTTCTTTCACCTTTATAGGGAATATTCAATTTTACCTTTGAAAACATTCAAGGTGACCCCTTTTCCATTTCCTTGACAGTGCCTCGGTGACTTTCCTCAGTTTCCTCTTGATCTATTGATTTCAAATCTACGTTGCTTTCTTTCTGCCTCTAAGTTCTCTACTTTGTAATTTGATTTCACTCCCTTTTGACAAAACAACTTTTCTAGAACATAGACAGGATCATATCGTGTCTGCTCAAAAAACGACTAAGGGTTTCACACAGAATTACGTTCAAAGGACCCAGGATAACTTTTTTAAAGTCTGCAAAATTGACCCCTTTCTTTTTTCTACCACCATCCTCACTTGTGCATTTTTCTATTCCAGATACGTGGGTCTGATCAATTATATTCTGAAATTCTTTCTCCTCAGCACCAACTATTCCCAAGACCCTCCATTCTGCCCTGGGTTTATAAACAATTCCCTCAAAAGGAATTTCCATAGTTCCGCCCACCATATGTGTGAGCGTTCCCATCTTATACAATAGATATCTCTGTTATACTCTCACATTGTATATCAGGTTGATGCACTGATCCTAATGATTTTATTAGGATTAGTCTTTTGTTTTTCTTGGTAGTTTCCTTTTCAACTAGAAATCAAACTATTGGGTTGTTGAAAAAGTCATGATGTATTTTTTCAATGTTTTTTGTTGCAAAAATGCATCATGNCTGTCTCAGCAAGAACACTTGAGATGCTCAAACACCAAGGGAAGGGCGCTTATTAGCAACAAAAACATCAGAAGCCACAATCAAGGACATGTGGAGAATCGGGTCTCTTATGCTATAAATACCCTAGCTACAAAATTCAGCTCCAGAACAGATCACAAGATTTTCTTTTCAAATTACATTGTTTATGTCTTCTCACATGTGAAATAGAAAACAGAACAAATGAGGAACCAATGACATATCCCTTCGTATAAGCATAAAGAAGGGGGATGTCACCATGCAGTCTGTAGTTTAAATAAACTGAAATGAGACAACCCAGATAAAGATCTTGATTGAAGCCTGTCTTATGAAGTATTAGCATGGGATAGTGCTTCTCAAATGTTTATGTGTGTACACATCATCTAGGGAGCTTGTTAAAATGCAAATTGACCACACTTTGAGGAGAAAGAGAATGGACCACCATACCTTGGGTACTGGCCACAAAGTACTGTCTCCTTCCCTCAGGTGGGTGGCACTGTGACAATTTCACTTTGTTAAATTATCAACATTTAAACTTTGAGTTTTGCAAAAATGTAAGCATCCTAAGGAAGAATGACCCATTAAGCTCTTGAGAGTAAAGAGCATTCTGAGCCCAGCATTTAGGCAACATTTTTTTTTTAAACCAGCAGGACATTTTTATTTCAAGGTTATGGATACAATTGTTTAGATCAGATCACTAAAGAGTGTTCCTACAGTGTTTTCCAATATCAACATCATTTAACCATGCTATCTCCCTTATCAATTTTCCATACATAGCACCAACGTATTTTAATTGTAGCTTTATTAAAATTATTTTCTGGGTCAGTTATTTTCCATGCAGATTTTACAAATTGTCTTTTTTTAGTTCATATCAAATTTTATCCTTGTGAGTTTTCTTTTGAAGCTAGTACTTTAATGCACCCAAGTACCTGGGTGAAAATTTTGCAATTCTGAATTTGGTCTATATTATTTGATTCTTCTGGAAACTTTATGGCATGCTGTTTTAGCTGTTGTCAGAGTTATTTTGTACTAATTTCTATACAATTACTTGTTACAAATTTAATAAAAAACAAAGAGCTTGCCTTTATTTCTCAGAACAAATGGTCTAAGAGGGGAAAGGCACTAGATGTTGGTACATAATAGAGCCAATTAATTTATGCAAAATAAGATTTTTTGAGATGAAAGAACATGTTACAAGAGTGCATGGGGTAGGGGAAGCCTCACAAGAGTAAGGAAATGTCTGAAGCAAATGACATAAATTGAGATTTAAAAAAATTTTTTTAGCTATCCCGCAAAACACACCATCCACCCTACCCACAGCATTGGTGAGTGAAATCAGTTTTCCATCCATATCGGTTCTTTTCAGACATTTTCTTTCCCTTTCCAGTAATTACCCATCTGCATTTATGAAAGGTTAATGGAATTTTATAAACACTGCTATAGATCCCATTAACTCACAAAAATTTCATAATTTCAGAATGACATTATTTGTGAGTTGTGCTTCTAGTCCATGAAATATAAAACNTCCAAGGAATTCCAAATTCAGGAGCAGTGTCAACAAAGTGAGTGAACATTAACAGATATGAATTTTTTCTTATAAGTTACTCTTGTGACACATGTGTTTTCATTCTTTCCTAAGACACAGCAGACCCCTCAACTTTAAGTCAGAATATAAAAATGCCATTTTGGGATTATTCTTACAAATGGTCAGATGATTGAGCAATATTCTCCAAATAAAGGCAAAAATGGTGTTATTCTTTATATTATATATGATAGTCCTGTAAGTAAGGCCCATAATTTCCATGCTTTTATGCCTACTAATTCAAACTCTTTTTCCAGATTTCCATTTATAACTAACAGCAGACATTGGCAAAGTGTGGAGCTAAATATAGGGTTGAGGTCTTTTGACATGGAGTAATCTGCAGACCAAACACAGAGACCCACAGAGGCACCACCTATTCGAGGAGAGTAAAAATTGTTCTCCATATATGCTATGTACTAAATATTAAAGTCATACAAACACTCATGCACAGAATTAGTTGCATCTGCTTATATACAACAATGATTAGAATGACTACTAAATTTGAGAGTCAAACCTATTTTTAGAAACCAACTTTTGACTTGAATCAATTCTCTATTGAAAAGTTTCTTTTTTCCTTTGTCATTAACTAAAGGGAAATTCAAATATGTTCCTAATAAAATGTTTGTAAAACACATAGCATAAATCCTAGCACATAGTGGGGACTCAATATACTTTGCAGTTTTAAACAACAAGAGAAATACACAGTGTCTGTCAGTAATGTTGCAGGGAAAACCAAGCTAACACAACTAAAGCATTGCTGGAAATAGTCAACAATATTATTAAGAGATAAATTATCTGACATTGTCAATGAGAAGTCACTGAAAAGAGTTAAAGTATATAAGGAAGCTTGCATTGGGTAAGTAGAATTTGAAGCCACCCAATAACTTAAGTCTGGTTTACAATGGAAAAAGGCTACAGAGAAGGGTATTCTGGGAGGTGAGGATGAGTTAAGACCCAAGGTTGGTATAAGCACGATCCACTGGGGGAACAAAGTGACTGCCCACTTAGCATTAACAGTACATGTTGAAACAGAATGAAAGTTCTATGAGTTAATACACACTTGGGGGGCCATCAATACCAGACTTTATTAGTAAATGGGGGAGGTGATGTTTCAGGCAAGGGGAACAGGTGCCAAGGTGCCTTTAAATGGTGGGTATGGTTGGAAATCCGGTAAGAGATGAGAATTGATCAGGGACTTCAGAATGGCCATACAGGTTGCTCATTGAACAATTCCAGTGGTGCTATTTACATGGACTACAAAGGGAATACTCCCTAAACCCCAAGTTGTGCAGGTCTCACATTATACAAAAGTGCGGTATCACTGGTGTTAGAGAGNGGGGAAGTTTTCCCCAGAGTTCCCCAGTTTTACAATACATAGGAAATCAATTTGCATCACCGATGATATCATTCAAATCAAACAACCTGAAGTTGTTAGGAGGTAATTTAGTTTTGTGCTGAAGCAATTTGATACTTGTTCTAATGTGCGATTTCCATTTTGTTTGTTAATGAAAAAAATTAATGAGCAATGTTACTAGACATACAACTCATCAGAGCCTCGGTGTTATTATAGGGGTTGGCCATGTCCTGCGCATTGTGAGCCCTGGGCAGCGTGCGCTGGACCTCTGCCTGGGAGCAGCTAACAGTCAAATAGTTAAGAAGAGCTCAGGGAACAGATGCCGTTACACATACCTTTGCACTGATTTGTGTTTTTGTCAAGGATTGCCTTTGTGGACACAATTTTTCCGTACCTGAAAGAGAGAGAGAGAAAAACATCCATGTTACGGTAGCCCGATGAAGACACTTCAAACAGCTTCATGAACATGGGTGTACACACACGTGCACAGGAATAAACCAAGAAAACGAGCTGGGAGTTCCCTTTTCACAGCTGGGTGATCTCTTTTCACCAGTTCTTTTCTGTGACTCGAGAATGCATTTCCCTATGTAATCACTGGGGAGAGCCTTCAAAAGTAAACCTGTCAGGCTGTCACAGGTGGCTGAAAGGGGGATTGCACATGATTGTGATCAAAGTAAATCATGCTGTGGATTTATGAAAAAAAAAGGACGGAGCTCGGTTTCAGGATGAGCAGGGCTTGTGTCCAGCTCTGAAACTGACCTAGTGTAACCCAGAGAAGTTTAACATAACTTCCCCAAGCCAGTTTTTTCATCTGTAATCACCACCTTTCAGGATTTGGGAGAGGGTTAAATTGAAATTTTGACATTTTCTATCCATGCTCCTAGGAAACATAGAAATGTATTTATTTATTTTGCTACTAAAATATATCATACTGTCATTTGAGGATAGGAACTGAGTTTTGTGTTCTCAATGCCTGCCACCAAACATGATAGAAGTTCAGTACATGTTTTCTATAAATAAATAAATAAATAAATAAATAAATAAATAAATAAATAAAACAGGTTATCCAATGGCACTTCATCTATAACAAATTTCCTACGATAAATATCTATATACATCATAAATATGTTAATTGTTTTATCACCTCTTGCAGAAGACCTAGTCTAGGTTTTGCTTTTAAAACACGGGTAATCTGGGGAATAAAAGAATCTCTCAGAGCCCATTTCCTGAGGTATATAGATGATGAGACTGAACAAGATGATCCTAAAACCTGGTTCTTTAGTATTCTACGAAGGATGTTTCCCAACCAACATAACAACATGGAGAAGTTATAATGCAAACGGAAGTGCCAAGTTTATTAACAACTCCCATTATCTTCAGGATTTCAGCCATTGTCACAAAATATTTGCCAAGTTTTCTTTAAATTCTGTGTTCCTAAGTGTAATCATATGTGACAAATATTAAACATTCCACATGTTAATGATCTAGGTTCCCCATCTCCAATGTTTCTTTTATATTTGTAATCACCTTTTACTGTATCATTAATTTTTCACAGCATTTTGGTGGTCATTTATTAAAATTCTACTGTTCATAACGGCATAGTACCGGAAATGCCTTTGCCTCTTTCTTTTCCAGTTGTTTTCATTAAAGGCGGACTGAGGGTCCTCTAGAAATTGATGGGATTAATGTTATTATGAAAGTGATACACCTATAACCTTGAATATCACGCCAAGAGGAGCTGAGCTATCGCTAGGTTATAATAGAAATTGGACTATTTGTATGAAATTAGATGAAGGGGTCTGAAATAATTCCCACCATAAGCTCCTCCCTTGTTAAAGTCAGCCAGAAGTGGGCTGGAGCAGCCCAATACTTAACTGAGTAGATTTTGTCAGCATAACCCTGATGTTTCAGCAATTTGCATTCGTGGTACCACTGCCTTTCTTCCACCATTATAACTATAACCCTACAGTTAACTAAATCAAAGGTTGCTAAGGCTGAAAGTGTCTATAACTATTTTGTAGATGTAGATAGCATGCCCTAAAAAAAATCAGTAACTTGATCTAAATCACATAATCTGTGAAAGTTACATCAGGAACTTGAATATGGAATTCTTAAATTTGATGCAGTGCCTATTACCTAATACTGCCTCGAAAATAGAGAAGCTACATATGTCAAATCTTCTAGTTCAATCAAGCTTCACTTCTTTGGGAATCCAGGTATTATACTCCAGGGCAATGTAGTATAGTAGTTAAAAGAATATACTGTGACAGCTAGCTGTCATGGCTCAAATCACAATTCAGCTCTGGTGCATTTGTTTAGCTAAATCTTATGTATTCTTTGCAACACTTCATCATCTATAATAATATAAGACTATTTATTTAAATATTGATTTGCACTATTTATTTAAATNGAGACAGTTGCCCAGGCCAGAAACCTGGAGGTGAATTGTAGGCTCTCTGTTTTTCTCCATCTTCCTATCCTACATCAATCCTCTCCATCACCTGACTTGGTCAAATTGATATAATACTTCCTGAATCTCAAATCTTCTCCATTCACACAGCCCTTGTCTTATTCAGCCCTCGTAATTTCTCCTTTATACTTCTACAGATGACTTTCTTCTTCTCTTGGATTAGTTTCTGTCCCAAGATTAGTTCCCACTTGGTAATATATCTATGGGTACCTTAAAACATACAGGCAAATTGATTTCTAGAAGAATTGTGCTGATTTACATTGCAACTATCAATAGAAGATAGAGCAATTTCACTGCAACATTGCCAGTTCAGGCTATTATTATTTTGGCAACACAGAACTATATGTAAGGTATATGTAAGGCAATTGCTCCCTTCCCATCTCTCTGCCCCAGTCCCCCATCTACCACCTTGCTCAAATAGGTATCCTTATCATTTTCAGTTTGTTGTTTGTTTGTGAAAATCATAACAAATTCCTTATGGGGGAATTGAATGCTTCATTAGTTAAGATACAAAATTATAACGTCATCATTGCCACCTTATAACATAATATAACACAGGATCCTGCCTTGGGCAAATTACAAACTATGAATAAGCTTATAAAATCTTATGGATTTTGGAAGAGGAACAAAGAAAGTGGTACGAAATGTGTTTACAAGATGAAAATGATCACTTAAACTTGAGACATTTCTTGCTCAGGTGAAAAGAAAGAGTTGTTAAGTTACCCTGAAAACTGTAAATGCTTTCATATTCTTTTCTGTTAAAGGATGCATCTTTAATCACGACCATCATTTAGTATGGAAGAGATCAGAAGATATCCAGATGGATTTATTAACAATGGGATCTTACTGTATTTTTCCTGAGGTATTTTCATTAGGTGAATGTATCCATGGAGATGGCTCCATTTTTAGCCCCAAATATGGATGCAGCCGTTTGATAGCTGGGAGACCCATGACATCGTGCCCAATATTATGATATGGGAACTCATAAAACAATAGCTGTTCTGTCTTTAAAATTCAAAAGACAACTCGTGTCTAAGTGGGTATAGATTCACATAGGAAAACTGGATATTTCTTTAGTACTTCTGCAAAATGAACAGAATGAATCTGACTGAGCCCTTGATAATGCTGGTGCTGGCTACAGCCAATATTCTGTGTGTAGAACACAGTCAGAGGCTTAATGGTCACTCATTATACACTTGTGGATGCATGAATGAAAGCCCTGAACACAGAAAGAGATAGAGGCAAGGACTATTAAAAAAATGTGGGCACTGCAAGTCACTCTTACTTATGAACAGCAGACTTTCTTTTGCCATTTTAGTTATTCCCAGATGTTGTACAAGTCATAGTTTTGCAAAAGCTACAGGAATGGGTATTTAGAAAAGAATCAGGGGCATGTAGAAGGATTCTAAGAAACAGGAAACAGTGCAAAATTTAACGTTTTCACTTAGAACTTTACTCATGGGATGTGCCAATGTTTACTTGATTTTCTTATCCCCAAATATCATTTTTGTCTTTCACTAGTTTGGAACTGCCTTGACTTCTACGTAAACTCTTCTCTTAACATAACTAGCCCCTGCAACAATAGGAAATCATCCTACATACAAAGTTAAAAAGTTCATGTGTCAATACATTCATTTTTGTTTTTTGTTTTTCAATATACACTGAATGCTAATAATACCTAAGATGTTGCTAAACCAACATCTTCTTTGCCATCTTAAGTCTTTAAAGTAGCTGACACCATTGACCATTGCTTTTTAGAAATGCTATTCCCAGCTTTTACAAAATTGTTCCATGTCTNAATTTAAGTGATCAACCTCTTACATACCTTAGATACTTGAATACTGTGTGTCACTATGGTTAGTACACATTTTTAGGAGATATAGTACCATATACACCTCTTAAAATAATTTGTTAAACCGATTTATATTATTGAAAGTTTCTGAAATGTTTAGTATTTAGAAGAAGAAAAAGAAAAAAAAATGAAAGGCACTAAAAATTTAAAAGGAAGATTCAGGCTTGGTATTTCTATGTTGAAGTTCTAGTTATAAATCAGGCAGTGACTCTATATTGAATCACAGAAAGGTCACCAATTGTTGTTTCTTTGAGTGCCACTATGCCAAATAAGAACCAACAGTTAAGGTGGCAAAATCCTAGGTCTTCTGGAAAATTGATTTATGTAAAACATAAAAAATGTAGAGTAGACTTTTGACTAGAAATTATGATATTCCTCACACATGCTGATCCCCTAGTTATCTGGGTGGTGTTTACCGGACTGGGCAAAATTTCAGACCCAGATTCACCGCAAATATCTGAGTTCAGGCCAACTGTTCCCTAATATGCTACTGATTTACCCATGTCAGGGCATTACACTAGATTAGAAAAGAGAGCTCTAAATCGTACTTTAGGGCTTTACTTGTTTAAATGACATTAGACAGGTTTGTACCAACTATAGTAACATAACATTATTCAGGTGTCTATGTTATGTAAGAGGTTGATTGCTTGGTCTACCCCTGAACCTTAAGGAACATTATCAATTGTATTTCTTGATCATTTTATACTTTTAATTTTCATGAGCATTTTGTGATTACCCCAGGATTTGTTTTCCACTTGTTAGGAA